AAAAAAAGAAAAGAAAAGAAAGGTCGGGCGCAGTGACTCACACCTGTAATCCCAGCACTTTAAGAAGCCAGGCAGGTGGATCACTTGAGAGGTCAAGAGTTTGAGACCAGCCTGGCCGATGCGGTGAAACCCTGTGTCTACTAAAAATACAAAAATTAGCTCGGTGTGGTGACACACACCTGTAGTCCCAGCTACTAGGGAGGTTGAGCCATGAGAATCACTTGACCTGGGAGGCAGAGGTTGCAGTGAGCGGAGATCACACCACTACACTCCATCATGGGCGACACAGTGTGACTCCATCTCAAAAAAAAGAAAAAAAGAAAAGAAAAGTTAATTCAATATAGCATGCAGGGAAAAATGTCCCTACTTCATCCACATTTTTTAAAATTTCAAAAAAATTCTTTTCGATTCAAAAATGATTTTCTTTGGCTGGAGGGTGACAATGTAATCACTACTGTGACAGTTATATTTTAATGATTGGCTGTATTCTATTTTCTTCTGTTTAAATACATATACCATTAATATTAAATTCAATAAGAATTTCAAAATAAAATTTCTTGATAGGAAGTATGCTGCACTTACACTTACAGACATGCATAATACCCCCCTACCCAAAAATTTAATTACAAGACCAATTCCTATATAACATTAATAACCTTTAAATAATTATATGTTACACACCTGAGGAATTTTCCTTTGGAACATCATCTAGTTCCAACACTTCATAGTCATCACCAGCCCGACCTAAGCTTCTTTCATGCCTGGTCATACACGGTTTAAAACTGACATATGCATGTCTTCTTCCATATCTCCTGCCTGTAATTGTCTGATATCCTCCTGCTGGTTTGGGCCAAGCAGCCTTACCAGATTCCTGGTCCATTGCTGAAAAAAATGTTAAAAAATTAAAACAGCAACAGCAATGATCTTTATTCTGGCAACTTGCTGGGGAAAACTACTTCTTTCTGTATGTTATTATTTATCAAATCATATGCTACTGCACATCAGGTGTACCTTACTAGTACTATAAAACATTATTCTTCACACACTAGAAAATTAAACATGAAGTACTATATAATAAGAGTTAGTGGCCTCTTCCCTTCAAAAAATACGTTTTAAAATTTGATTCCTTTAAGTTATTCCAGAGTTTTAAAATTAAACCCACCAAAAATATTTTTTATATGTCAAATTATATTGCCAAAGCTCTTTATGGATTGGAGATCTTCTAAATTATATAAAAACTTTTTATATTATTGTAAGTGCTCAATTACCAGCATATGATATGATTGTAAAGTATATCAATTACTTTAAGAATTAAAACATTTATGTCAAAGATAACAGGTAACCTCTTTAAATGGTATCTGTACCATGATGAGTCAACTAGACTAGGATAAGTATGTTCCAAAGATTAACGTAAGATAAAAACATCCAAAAGGAAACAACAATGAGCCAGGTCAAACACATACTACCCTGCCTTCAAAACTGCCATGAATGGTATATATTATTGTAAGAAAAGCCAACAACATTTAAATAATTTGACTATTAAGTCTTGATGACAGAGGGGTATATAGTAGTAAACAGCAGCAATTTTCACTAAGTAGTACTTTATTATACACACACATACATATATTAAATGTAAGTTTGACTAATCAATTATATATTACATGTACTATGCAAGAACCATACAAAACATTTTCTCACAGCATATGGTATAGTCAATAAATGGAGCAGTTGCTGGGCGTGGTAGCTCATGCCTGTAATCCCAGTAATTTCGGAGGCTGAGGCAGTTGATCACTTGAGGCCTAGAGTTCTAGATCAGCCTAGCCAACACGGTAAAACCCTGTCTTTACTAAAACTACAAAAATTAGCCAGCTGTGGTGGCACATGCCTGTAATCCCAGCTACTCAGGAGGCTGGGACACAAGAATTGCTCCAACCCAGGGGGTGAAGGTTGCAGTGAGCCACAGTTGCACCAGTACACTCCAGCTTGGGTGACAAAGACTGTGTCTCAAAAAAATAAATAGATAAATAAATGAATGAATGAATGAAACAGTTACATATTTTTTAGTTGCATCAAAATAAGAAATATAATCACTTTCATAAGGAAAGAGAAACAAACATATATTTATAATACATGCACAATACCAAGTGTTACACTTACTTAACCCTGTCAGTAACCTTGAGATAGATACTATATTCTATTTTTAAAACTGAAAAATTAAGGTTAAAATTAAGTGTTGGATAACTTGTCTAATAATCCAATAGAATGATTCCAGAACCAATGCCCTTAACAGTTCTAACAAAAGAATAGTCTCCAAAGTGGAACGCATAAAGCTTCCCAAGCTAAAGGGGTGTGGAAGAAAATATCAGAATTTCTATTTTTACCTATTTCATATCAAATATTAGAAACTAAGCTTTACAAATATTCAATATATAGCTCAAAACCAGCCTTTAGTAAGACCATAGGTCACGTAATCACATGTCACTTATTCCAAAGGTACTCAAGGAAAAACACGAAGTGCTCAAGGTAGAAGAACCGACTTTCCTTACCTGCTGACTCCTTTTCAGTGTACAGGGACATATATGGCAGTGTCTGTGTGACCAGTTCAGTAGAACTATAGAGGTGATTTAGTTTTTATTCAAACTATGGATAAGCCGCAGAAGATTCCTACAAAGAAACAATGAATTAAACAATATATTAATAATAAAAGCAAAAAAATAGCAAAACTGATACATCTGCTCCTCCTAGAGAAGCTCTATTAGACTTACATGAAAACTTAGAAAAATACAAAGTGATGTGGCCAGGCACAGTAGCACATGCTTGTAATCCACCTTGGATTACAGCACTTTGGCAGGCCAATACAGGCAAATCACTTTGAGCTCAGGAATTTGAGACCAACTTGGTCAACGTGGCGAAACCCCGACTCTACAAGAAAAAAAATTAGCCAGGTGTGGTGGTGCACACCTGTAGTCCCTTGAGAGGCTGAGATGGGAGGATTGCTTGAGCCCAGGACATCAAAGTTGCAGTAGGCTGAGACCATGCCACTGCACTCCAGGCCTGGGTGACAGAGTGAGATCCCATCTCAAAAAATAAATAAATAAAAACAAGAAAAATACAACATGATTTGACAAGCCAATCAAAACCCCTTAGAAATACCAAAATGGCTATTTGAAATACAAATTTACATCTGCTCATGATAAACCTTGCCTAAGTATATATCATTCTTAAGACTGTCAATGACAACAACACATACATAATTTATAAGTAAATAAACAAAAATATTAGAAGTACTGACTTGAGTATGTAACCAAACCATTTGGGAGTCTATTACACCATACTATTGTTGCTTCTCTGTCAAGCACTAAAGTTCCTTTAGCCCTGGAATTGCTAAAAGAAGGTAACTCTAAGAACACAAACTTAAACATTTTTTAAAAATGTATAATGACTTATAACAATAAATAATTAATGTGTGTAAATAATGGTATTTATTCTTTGCGATAGTCAACTGATTAGATATTTAATCCCAAATAAGAACCTATTTTCAATCAGGAAAAGCTACGATTTATCATGGAACAAATACAAAAATAATTTCTGTTTTGAAATTAATGAATTTATTTACTATTTAAAAAGCAAACTTTGGTTTTTTTTTTTTTTTTTGAAAGTTTGGCAAGTTTTTCATTTAAACACCTTATTTACTTAAATACTTGAGCTATTTCTAATTGCCTGTCAATGCAAATTTATTAGACAATACCTTTGCAAATGAGTTTAATTGTATATGTTAACTGTCTAATCATGGACAGATATATATTAACATACATAAGAGTATACACATTCACCCATATAAGTTATAAATTTTGTGACAAGTTGTGATTCTCTAAACTATCTGAATCAAAAGAAACTGTTAGCAACAGCTAAAGAGAAAATGAATATTAAAAAAATAATAACATACTGGCAAAAAGTGCTAATTAACATTGTTTTAATTTTTTAAAATCTGAAATAATCTGAATCTTTACAGATCACAGTACAGTACATGGCAATCTTAAAAGATGACCATGGATTTACGTTCATATAATGAGTATCTTACCCAGGCTTTACTTTGGAATAAAACCTTATTCTACCATGTTCCAAGTACGATATTCAGAGCTAGGGACACAATAATGTACAAAATGGACAAATATTCCTGCCCTCCTAAAATTACAGTATGAGGTATAAACACTAAACAAATAAGAAATAAATACTTATCTAATATGTTAAATAATAGGTACTTACAGAGCAAAATAAAGCAGAGAGTAAAGAGTTTTGGGGGCTGGGTACAATGGCTTACCCCTGTAATCCCACCACTTTGGGAGGCGGAGGCCAAGTCAGGAGGATCACTTGAGCCCAGGAGTTTGAGACCAGCCTGGGCAACAAAGCAAGACCCCATCTCTACGAAAAATTTAAAAATTCGCTGGTGAGGTGGCATGTGCCTAGAGTCCCAGCTACTTAGGAGGCTAAGATGGGAGGATCCCTTGAGCCCAGGAATTTAAAGTTGCACTGAGCTACAACTGCACCACTGCATTCCAGCCTGGGTGACCGAGTGAGTTTTGGATGAATTAAGTTTGAGATATCTATTAGACATTCAAGTGGAAACATTAAATAGGAGTCGAGTTGACTGAAGAATTATGAGCTGTTAGTATAATTTGGGACTTGTCAGTGTATAGATTATACTAAAACAGGTATGAACTTGGATGCGATCTCTAAGTGTACCTGGAGAAGTAAAGTTAAGCTCTGAGAAAATCAAGTATGAAGAGGCCAGGGAAAAAGAGGCAGAAACTAAGTATCCCTTTTCCAAAATGCTTGGAACCAGAAGTGTTTCAGATTTGGGATTTTTTTCAACTCTTTGAATATTTGCATATACATAATGAGCTATCTTGGGGATGAGATCCAAGTCTAAACACAAAATTCACTTGTTTCCTACACATCTAACACACATTGTCTGAAAGTAATTTTATACAATACTTTTAATAACCCGGTGCATGAAACAATGTTCTGTTAAGTACTGATGTGTGGAATGTTACACTTATGGTGTCATATTGGCAGTAAAAATGTTTCAGATTTGGGGGCTAGGTGCGGTTGCTCACACCTGTAATCCCAATACTTTGAAAGGCCAAGGCAAGCAATCACCTGAGGTCAGTGAGACTCTGTCTCAAAAAAAAAAAGTTTCAGATTTTGGATTTTTCAAATGTTAAAATTTTTTAATTAGGGATGCTTAACCTGTACCAGAAAAAATTGCAGAGGCTAGCAAGAAAAAACAAAAATCCTGAAGTATGAATGCCAAGTGAAGAAAGTATTTCAGGTAGAACTGACTGACTGACTGTATCAAAAAAAAGTATGAAGACCTATCACTGATCACTTAGCACAAGGATAATGGCAAATGGCGGCACCCTTAGTAGCATAGTTGGTGCAAATACCCGATTCGAATGCTGTTAAAGAGAGGAAAGGAATTGCAAAGAGTACAGAAATCATGGAAATCACCCTGTTTCTTTAATGTGATTCCACTTTCCTTCTTAAAGATACTCTTTTCCGAGTCGTCTAACATCCTCATCTAAATTCAGTTTACCTGTTTTCAAGGGCTATTAGTCAACTATTTCCGTGGTAATCTTTTGATTGTACAACCCGTTTAAGTAACACCCCTACTTTGAATTTCATGTCTTTATCTTTTCTTCCCTTTACTGGAAGATCCTCAAATAATGGTTTCAATAAGTATATGTAAAAGACAAACCCTTGAGTCCTGGGATGTCTGAAAATACTATCTTTCCCTCATACTTTAGTACAGTTCAATACAAAATCATTTTTTCTAAACTCTGAAAGGCACTGTGTCCTACCTGTCAATTGATTTATCCTTCTTTTGTAGAAACACCGAATTTTTCTGTCTGGAGTATTTAGGATCTTGTCTCAATAGCTAGTAATCTATAATTTCACAAAGGCTTGTTTGGGGCAGGCTATTTTTTTAGTTTTTCCTACACAGCATTGGAAGAGCTATTTTGATTAAAGGCTCTTGTACATGTCTCAAATATATCTTTTTTTTTCCTTCCTAATTTCTCTTTATTTGGCCCAAATGAGTTAATCATTTGTCTCTAAACTTTTTTTTCATATTTTCACTTTACAGACTGGGAATTTAACTCACTTTTACTTCTTTCACTTAGTCTTTCATTATTCTCTGTAATTATCTTTTTAATTTCTTATACTTTCTTATTCTGCGATTCTTTAATAATAGTGGTTCTTGTTTTATGAATATAGACTAGAATCTCTCTGTAGATACTAATTATTTCTATTTAATATGAGACCACTATATTCTGTCTCTGACAGTGTTATCTCATTTCTAAGTATAAAAAATAAGAAAAAAAGCAAATAAGGGAAGATATAAGTAGGGAATAAAGAACATAGCTGAGGTTAGGATTAAAATGATTAATCAGTCTAAATTTGTATCTATGGTAAATTGGGAACACAGTTTTTCTCTAAATAGACATTTCCTTTGCTGATTAGTTGTTTGCTCCATGTACTATTCACCTAACAACATGTTCATAACAGACTCCTCTCTACTTGTGACAGTTACTTCAAACAATTTGGGGTTTTTAAATACTTCTTACAAATACTAAATAAAATACATAAATGTGCTGCTAAGAAGTAAAAGAGTGAATCAGGGATGTATTAATTCTAGGTCTCTCAGTTATTAACCTATAAGTCATCACTTTATCATTTTAACTAGGATATTATGCCAGCAGCTCTGGATAGACAACAGGAATAATCTTTAAAAGAATACAAGGAAGAACATGGACATGGGACATACACTTCTCGCAGTAAACTAGTGAGTTTAAAGACAAAGGCCTTGTTTAACTGTTATTTAAATACACTTTGTCTAGTACATTGTCTGACAGTATATTAAAACAGCTGCTGAACAAATGAATGAAGGAATTAGATAATTCTGTGCTCCTTCCTGTGATGAAAATGTGGTCATATAATGAAAAAAGAGAGCTAAGTTTTTGGCACACATGCATTCAAACTTCAACCTCAATATTTAGGCAAGTTAATAAACTGTTCTCAGTATTAGAGCCCTCTCTTGACTTATTTCTAATGAAAACAGTATTATGGATGTGACTGTGTGTGATGTACAAGAATAGGGTAATAAAAGGAATTGTGGCTTCCTCCTTAATCTCTCTGCTCACTCTTGCTGGAAGAAACCAGCTGCCACATCATGAGATCATTCAAGTAGACCCAAGGAAAGCCCACATGGTGAAAAACTGACCGTTCTGACAAAATCCACAAGAAACTAATGTCTTCCAGCAACAGCCACATGGATGAGCCACTCGGAAAGCATGTATCTCAGCCCTAGTCAAGCCTTCAGATGACTGCAGTCCCGGCCTACATTTTGATTGCAACCTCATGAGAGACTTGAAACAAAATCAGCAACCAGGTTAGGCTCCTGAATTTCTAACTCACTGGGACTGTGAGATGATAAACGTCTGAGTTGCTATGTCTACTGCAGGAAAATAAGGAATGAGGTGAAGGCAAAATAAATGTCCAAAGAGTAAATAAAGTATCTATTTTGAATAACAATCAAAGCTTGTACTTAAATTATTTCTCACACTTGCATATTCTTTTTAATCTATCTTTAGATTTCTCCTATC